GAAAAGGGAGAAGTGTGACACAGGCGCGTCGCAGATCGGCATTTGAGAGAGAGCAAACATTCCATCGCAGCCTTTTCTTTCCTTTTCCTTTCCTTCGTGCGCAGCGTTGAGGTGTCGCAGGTGCCACCGTGGGATAGGGTGGGGTGCTGAGAGCATTTTCAGAGCGCGGTATGTTCAAATGAACCGTCACAAGTTCTTGCGCGTTCGAATTACAGGCCGTTTTCACCCATTGAAATACACATAGCTTTGACGGGACCTCATTTTGAGTTCAAATTAACCGGAAGGTCGAAATAACCGTTAGATCAAATTAAGCGGAAGTTTGAATTAAGCATGTTAGAAATAATGAGATTTGACTGTATAATAGACCCATTGAGTGTTTACGTAAAAGTTTGTCGTAAGAATACTAGGATTGTTACATTTCCTACTCCTTTCACAATCCTGACAACAACCATATTGATCACTCGTCAAAACATTGAATTTAACTGGTATTCACTCAGACGATTGTATATTAGCTTTCTGATCACATTACTTAAGGAAGACAAAATGCAGATAGGATTATAGCACTTTTGGTCACCTTTTCTAATCACTGTAATAACTTTGCCTATTTTGAGGCGATTGGAAAAGATGCCATCTTTAAATAATTTGTGAAATACATGTGAAAATTTAGGTGAGATTTCTTCAGGCACAAGCTTAATGCTTGATGGATATATAAGATCAAGACCTGGACTAGTTATTTTAAGAGATTTCATGATATTGCATACTTCTTCCAGTGTGGTTGGGAAGAAGTAAAATAAATGAAAACTTCGCGGGAGACTAAGTGGCATTAAATTAGCCTGATGGTTGCCTGTAATATTGAAATAATCACTGGAAGCATTAGCAATACCTTGAGGGTCAGTAATACTAGTAGACTGGTAGTTTACTCATGATAGGCTGTTTTTAGTTGTACTGATGTTTAGGAATTCCTTACTTATCTGCCAATTCCGTCTAGTTTCACTTTCATTTTTACGCATTTTATCTTCATAGTATTTACGCTTGGCATCCTTTAATGCGGAGGTTAGAACATTCGAATACAAGTTAAAATGCAATCGCAAGGTATTATGAACAGCTGGGCTTTGTTTTTTACGAAGATTATCTCTTTTTTTAATAGAGCGCAATAAATAGTCGCTAATTCCTGGACTTCTTGGAGAACTGAACCATCGTGCCATAGTTGTGGTACTTGTGCATGAATATGAATATTCTGATATTTTTGTAAAAAATATTCAAAAGCTTTATTGCTGTATTGTTCTTCGAGCACATTAGCCCAGTTCATTGCACGAATAATTTTAATGAATTTTTCAAAATCAAAGAATGCCCTCACATATTTTTCAGGTTGAGTGCATGTTAAAGCACCTATGCAAAAAAAAATGTAGGGTAATGGTTTGTTGCAACATATTCCGCTATTCTGGCTGTGCTACGATCTGTAGGCAGACTAGAAAGCAGGTGGTCAATTGAAGTATTGGGCCCTCCTATATGACATCTAGTGGGAACTGGAAATTAGCTGATGAGAGACCACAGCTCAGATAAGTGCGCAAATACTCGGAGCAAGACTGACTATTAGGATCGATAATGTTGATACAGTCGAATCTCATTAATTCAAACACTCGGTTAATTGCGATTGCATTTTAATTTGAACTTCTGGTTAACTCGAACTCACGATGAAGTTCCGTTAAAGCTACATGTATTACAATAGGCGAAAACGCCCAGTAATTCAAATGCACAAGCACTAGCGACGGGTAATTCGAACATACCGCACTTTGAAAATGCTCTCAACACCCCGCCCAATCATGCGACGGCACTTGCGACACCTCACCGCTGCCCGCAAAGGTAATGAAAAGGAAAGAAAAGGCTGCGGTGGAATGTTTGATCTCTCTCAAATGCCGATCTGCGACGCGCCCGTGACACACTGCTCTCTTTTCCGTCTCTGCTACGTAAAAACCCTTCTCCTTCCAATGCCGCGTGCGAAGAGAAAGATGGAAAAAAAAAGAAAGCTGTTGCTGCGTTGAATGAATGTGTAGTTGAAGGAAAGAGAAAAGGCACTATCTTCTGCAGCCCTTGCCTCTTGCGGGAGCACGGCTCTGCGCCTTGAGGGGGGTCTCTCACGCGCCAGCGCCACGCTTCCCTCTTTTCAGTCCCTGCCACATAACCCTTCTCCTTTCAAGGTCGTGTACAAAGAGAGCAAAAGAAAAAAAAGCTGCCGTAGAGTGTTGGTTTTCTCTCACATGCCGATCTGCTTCTCTCTGCGTAGAGACTCTTCTCCTTTCTCCTCACATGATGGTCATGCTGCGGCTGCGTAGCAGATGATGGTCATGCTGCGGCTGCGTAGCAGAGGGGCTTTGCTGTGCAGTCATTGTTGTCATCGTCTTTAGAAAGTGTCGGCGCTGGACATTTCCGTGCGCAACTTCTCTTGCCAGGTGAATGCTGAAACTGAAGTAGAATTGCTTTGCAAGCTGCGTGCGAAACTGATTGACTCGCTGCAAGGCAAACATATGCAGATGTGCATCACCGATTACTTCAATTAATAACGTATGTCCTGTGATTTGTGAATAGATGTAAGTCTTCTGAAACTTCCCCCTTGTGTGTTAGCTCAATGCACATGCGCCACTGTGCGGAGAGTCCTCTCTTTATTAAGCTTTCATTACTTGGAACTTCTTTTAATTCCAACAAATTTTTGGGCCCCTTCGAGTTCAAATTAACGAGATGTGACTGTATTAATATCACCACATTTAATAATATCCTTGTTTTCATCAACAAGTATGTAGGAACTGCTCAAGTTCTCTACAAAACTCGATTTGAGAGGATGAGGGGGAATGGTAAATGCACGCAATAAAGATGTTACATTTGGAAGGCAGCTGTAGGTATATACTCTTGACTTCTAATCATACTGACTCACAAAGACAATGATGAAAAAAAATCATGACGATATTTATGTGATAATGCTGATTTCATCAAAATGGCTGAACCACCACTGTGATAACCTTCACGTTGGCAATACTCAGAAGTGTAACCAGAAAGCCCATACAAATTCCCATGTTGGGATGATAACCATGTTTCAGATAGACATACAAAATAAAAAGCGGGATTCATAATGCTAAGAAGAGCGATGAGACCATCATGATGCTCACGAGTACTACGTATTTATAAATGCAGTAAAAATAATGAAGGTTGTTTTTTCTTGAACAGAGCTTTTTTTTCACCGAAAGAAAAAAACCTATTCATCGGTGATGATTCAGGCGCTAATGCAAAGAAAAAAAAAAATGGAATGTATTGATTACTTGAAGACTGACAAATCACTCGCTCTAGATATGCGATTAACATGGGTATCAACTGACTTTCTGGCTTTTACAGTACAGTTATCGGATCCAAAGGAATTTTCATCCTCAGACTTTTTTAGTTCTAGTGCCTGTTCAAGAAGCCGCTTATTGTCGGATGTGAGGTGATTATTTATGTTGTAATCGGCTTGCTATGTTATCTACCACCGCCTGAGCCAGGCGCGTGACGTGCCAACAACTGAGCGTCATGTCTTTCCCCGCTCTTTCTTCCTTCCCAACTCCCTCTCCCTTCCTATGCTTTAAATACTGTGTTCACGACGAATAAAGGGTTTTTTTTTTCAGTCCCCAGCCCTTGTCTCGCCTGTCGTTCACGCACTGTGTGTGCGCCGGCTATGCAACAGTGGCGACAAGGGTGGGACTGAAACCCATGACGAAAAAGAACACGGCAAGAAAAACCACGGTACAGCATTTCAAGAACCTGCCGCAGTGACGACGGCAGCCATGGCCTATCACCAACTTCCCGAGTATGATGGCAAGAGGGACAACTGGAAAGCGTACGTCATCAAGGCAGAGGCTTATTTCAAGGCAACGGGGGTTACCGACACAGCGAAAAAAAGGGCGTTGCTTGTAGCAGCGTTAAACACGAGGACTGTGCAGATTCTGACGGGACGAGTTGCTCCGAAGAAACCCAATAGCCTAACCTACGAAGAAGTCGTTGCAGCGCTGGATGAATATTTCGACCCGAAGCGCCACGAGATAACCGAAAGCTTCCGGTTCTTCAGTCGATGTCAGCACGACGGTGAGCCTTTGCAACATTTCCTTGTCGACCTACGACGCATTGTAGACAACTGCAATTTTGGCAGCATGCTGGATTGAATGCTCCGCGACCGTATAGTCTGTGGCGTCAGATCAAAAGCCTTGCAAAAACAGCTACTGGCAAAGCCAAACTTAACCTTGGAAGAGGCCGAAGCGATAGCACTATCAGCCAAAACGGCAGATGATGACGCAAATAAGATATCGGGTGATGCAACTACCGTACTGAAGGTTGGCGTGCAAAGCGTGTTGACGTACGAGCCTCCGCTAAAATGCGGACGCTGCGGAAGTAAGGAGCATAACAGCCACGCTTGCGGCTGGGCCAAGAGTAGGTGCTATCGCTGTGGTAGGCCGGGCCATCTTGCGAAAATGTGTTCGAGCGACGCGCCGAGAAAATGTGAAACCGGGCAGACGCACGGCATGCGGGGACGAGCACTGGCGGTGGCGGAAGACCATGCGGAGAGGAACATAGACGAAGCCATGCACCTCTGGACTTTGACTTCATCCCGCAAGTGGCAGTTAGAACCTCCAATCCACAGGACATTCACGTGGTGCGGCGTTGACATGCCAAAGCTGATAGACACGGGGTCACCCGTCTGCGTTGTGCCATGCGAAATTTATGCAAAGAACCGGGAGAGATGGCCGACATTGAAACCTTCATCTGTCAAGCTTTCATGTTACCTTGGCAAGCTCCCCGTTCTGGGACAATTGGACATGAAGGTAGCCTACAAGGGTGCCGTAGTAGACTGCTCCTTGGTAGTATTTAATTGTCCCGGTCCTAGTCTATGCGGAAGAAACCTAATTTTTCAGTTGAGCAATGCAAGGTCACCTGTCCTTAACTTGACTGCGGAAGCCGGATCGCCAACCAGTCTCCCAGCCATGGACGACATCGTCAACGAGTTTCAAGACATTTTCAGCGCGGAACTCGGCTGCACCAGCGGTCCCCCTGTGTACCTTCAACTCAAGGAAGGAGCTACATTCAAGTTCTGTAAGGCACGATCCATCCCTTTCGCTCTCCGTGATAAGGTTTCTCAAGAACTTGACAGACTCGTAGCAATTGGGGTGTTATCACCGGTAGCCCATGCGGAGTGGGCTACGCCCATTGTGCCCGTCTTAAAAAAAGATGGAACAGTTCGAATTTGCATCGATTTCAAGATCACGTTAAATCCTGTATGCGAACTGGAGCAGTACCCATTGCCGGTGATTGACGATATGTTTGCATGCCTAGACAACGGAGAGTACTTCAGCACTCTCGACTTACATGACGCGTATGATCAAGTACCGCTTGACGAAGAATCGCAGTAGCTATGCGTAATTAACACACATCGAGGGCCATTTTGCTTCAGGAGGCTGCCTTTTGGCATAGCGTCTGCCCCAGTCATCTTCAAGCGAAAAATCGAAACAGTCCTGCAGGGGCTACCAGGCGTGCAAGCTTATCTCGATGATGTGTTGGTTGCGGAGCGACAGGAAAGCAGCGAGACCCTGCGAACGGTACTGCAGCGTTTCCGTCAGCACGGTGTAAAACTCCGGCTAGACAAATGCAAATTTAGTCAGCCTTCAGTCACGTACTTAGGGCACCAAATCGACAAAAACGGCCTACACCCCACTGAGAAACATGTGGAAGCAATCGCCCAGGCTCCTAGCCCGAAAAATGTGCAGGAACTACGCTAATTTCTGGGCATGCTGTCGTATTACTCCAAGTTCTTGCCGAATATGTCATCTTTGCTTGCACCTTTGTACCAGTTGCTTGGCAAAGATGAGCGTTGGGTCTAGGGAGAAGCTCAACAAACAGCCTTTTCCAATGCAAAGCAGTGCCTACTTGCGGCAGGGGTGCTCGTTCACTACGACCCCGAAAAGCCATTAAAGCTGGAGTGCGCCGCTTCGCCGCATGGCATTGGTGCCGTGTTGTCTCATACGGATGGAAAAGAGAACTGGCCCATAGGCTTCCGTTCGCGAACGCTGACCACTGCTGTGCGGAATTACTCCCAGCTAGAACGTGAGGACTTGGCCCTTGTTTTTGGAGTGTCGAAATTTCGCGACTATCTCCTCAACAGAGATTTTACCTTGGTCACAGATCACCAGCCGCTACTGGGCCTGCTGAAAGCGGAGAAGCAGACGCCAGCATTGGCCGCAGCACAAATACAGCGCTGGTCTCTCTACCTTGGTGGATTTCGCTACAAGCTTCAGTATTCGCCCGGTAAGCTGCTACTAAACGCCGACACCCTCAGCCGGCTACCGCTGCAGACTCCAGTTTCACCCTCAAGAAGCGAACCCCCAAAGTATGTTTCCGCTCTAGCAAGTTTCGATGATGGTACTGTGTCTGTCGAAGAACTCCAAGCTCTAACTGCGCGGGACCTCTTACTAGCGAGGGTCGTGGAGTACACCAAGCAAGGCTGGCCGAAACATGTAAAGGACAGAGAGTTGGTGCCATTCTTGGACCGCCGGTTAGAGCTATCCGTAGCTCATGGGTTGTTATACTGGGGTCATCGAGTTGTTGTTTCCACAAAAGCACGAGAACGGGCGCTGAAAGCGCAAATCGTTATGGGTACCGAATCATGGCTTGACGACACAGTATTGGATGTAGAAATATTTCCGCCAGGTTTTACAGTGTACCGTAAAGATAGAAACAGGCATGGTGGTGGCGTGTTTCTTTTAATTTCAAGTAGCCTTGCCAGCGAAGAAGTTGTTTTTGATAATGAAACTGAATCAGTATGGTGCCGCGTCCAATTTCCCCAGGGAAACAACATCGTTTTTGGATCGTTTTACCGCCCACCTGACCACAACAATGAATCTTTGATTCAACTTTCCGACATACTATCACAAATATCTCACTGCGTAATACTGGGAGGGGATTTCAATCTGCCCGATATGAAATGGGATTCCGACTGTGTAGCCCCACACAAAAATCGAAATTGTTCTGCCTTTTCAGAACTAATGAGCGTCTATGGGCTACAACAATATGTGAACGAACCAACTCGGTTTAACGCTTTACTAGATCTTTTACTAAGCAATGACGAAAGTGTTATTGTTCACACAAACGTATGTCCAGGAATTAGTGATCATAGTTGCGTTGTTGCAGAGTTAAACGTTTCTAGAATACCTGCGTGTAAGCAAACCCCTCGAAATGTTTTCATGTACGACAGAGGGGACTTTAATGCCATTTCCGAAGAGCTGGTCTTGTATTATCCCACTTTTTTATGCATATCGGAGTCATGCGGCATGGATGAATTGTGGCAAATTTTCCGTGACAAGGTTACAGAGCTGGTGAATATGTACGTACCTCAGAGGTGTCTAAGATGCAGAAAGAGGCACAAACCCTGGTTCAACTCTGAGATACGCAAACTTGTTAGAAAAGCAGCGAATGCCCATAAAAGGTTTCTTAAAAAGAGAACAGCACTAAATAAAACAAAGCTCAAAAGTGTAAACAAAGAGCTTAAGTTAAAACTAAAACAGGCAAAGCGTGTCTTCTTTGACAAGCTAAACACAGACTTGAAGTGTAATCCAAAATTCTTTTGGAAGTATGTCAAGAGCAACAGAAAAGACGACACAGCTATCCCTGACCTTTTAACCCAGGAAAAAACTATAACGGATGACTTGGAGAAAGCTGAAGCATTTAACGCCTATTTTCAGTCAGTGTTTTCAAAAAGAACTGAACACTCTCCAATGCTACCTTCAAAAAATATTGGTAATGAAATGGCGGAAATTGAAATCGATTACGCTGGTTTGGATAGTCTGCTGCGTACTCTGGACACCTCTAAGGCTACAGGGCCTGACGGTATATCATCTCATGTACTTAAAAAGTGTCACGTTATTATTGCACAATATTTATGCATAATGTACAAGTTGTCTCTAGACACCGGCGTTATTCCAAGGGATTGGAAAACAGCCAATGTGGTTCCTGTACACAAGGCAGGAAGCAAAAAACATGTACAAAATTATCGTCCCATATCCTTAATTTCAACCTGTTGCAAATTATTAGAACATGTTATTTATAGCGCATTGTTCAAATATCTCGAATCTACTCATTTTTTTGCCCGCTCCCAGCATGGATTTCGGCAGGGTCGTTCATGCGTCACACAACTAACTGAATTTCAGCATGACGTACTGACTGCGCTTGACCGTAACAACATTGTTGATGCATTATTTCTCGATTTTCGCAAGGCATTTGATACGGTCCCACATAATCTGTTAGATATTAAACTGGCTTCACTGAATATTAATGCTAAGCTGCAAACCTGGCTACGGAATTACTTAAGTGGTCGTAAACAGTGTGTTGTTTTAAATTCTAAAACGTCTTCATATGTAAACGTGACCTCAGGCGTGCCACAAGGTAGCGTTCTAGGTCCGCTGTTATTTTGGTTTATATAAATGATATAGCCTATAACATAAAATCTTGCATAAAATTATTCGCAGACGATTGCGTCATCTACCGTCACATTACTTCAATCACAGACACTGAATTATTGCAAGATGACTTAAACACGGTAACACATTGGTGCTCCACGTGGAATATGTGCTTAAATATCTCGAAGTGCAACCACATCAGCTTTGCAAAGAACATTTCAAAATCCAGTGCACATACAGTATTAATGGCGAGGCAGTCAAAAAAGTGCCCGAGTGTAAATATTTAGGAATTTACTTGACAGAATCATTCCATTGGAACAGACACATAGACCAAATGATCTCAAAGGCTAGTAGAACGTTGTTTTTTATTCGTAGAAACTTTCACTGTGCAACAAAAGAGGTGAAAGAAACTCTTTACTTCCTTCTTGTCAGGTCTATACTTGAATATGCTTGTGTTATCTGGGACCCGGCTCAAAAGTATCTTGCAAAAACAATAGAAAAAGTCCAAAACCAGGCAGCCCGTTTCGTCAGCAACAACTACGACCCATTCGCTAGTATGTCAGAAATAAAGGCCATATTAGGCTGGGAAACTCTAAAATCTAGAAGACGGAAACTTCGATTAAAACTTCTGCACAGCATATATTATAACCTAACAGGAATTAATAAGTCTGAATACCTACTAGCACCAACATATCGTTCCACAAGATGCCAACACTCACATAAAATACAAGAATACGCATACAAAACCACTACTTTTGCCAACTCCTTCTTTTTAAAAACAATTAGAGACTGGAATGAACTTCCCGAAGGTATAGTGAACTTGAGTGACAACAGCGCTTTTTTCTCATCGTTGTGAAATTGTGACATAGGTACTTCTCTTTTGGTACCTGTTGTCATGTGCAATATTGTACTAAAATATTTTTTATTTTTATATGTTGTTATAATTGAATTTTTCACTATGTTTGGCGTCTTATCGCAGAAATGTTTTCTATGACTTCTTATGTATACCCCCCTGCAGTAATGCCACTACGGCGTTGCAGGAACTATGTAAGTAAATAAAATAAATAAATATATATGCTGCATGAGACGCATCAAGGGTCATCAGCAATGAAGACTGTCGCCAGATCGGTATTCTGGTGGCCGGGACTAGACCGAGAGATAGAACACCTCTCAGCATCGTGCCACAACTGCGTGCAAAACCTTCCTTTGCCAGCCTCTGCTCAACCAGTGAGTTGGCCAGCAGTTAAGGAAAAATGGTCCAGGCTGCACGCCAATTTCGCCAGGCCGATCGCAGGCAGCATGATACTGGTAGTCGTGGACGCTGCAACTAAGTGGATTGAAGCCGTGCCGTGAGGCAGGCAAGCATGTCGTCTACTATTGCCAGCTTTCGCAGCATTTTTGCCAGATTTGGTGTTCCACGCACAATAGTTACGGACAATGGCACGCAGTTCACTAGTGAAGAATTTGCCACTTTTGTGAAGAACAATAACATCACACACCTAGTACGACTGTGTATCATCCCCAGTCTAACGGGCTCGCTGAACGAGCTGTTCGGACGATCAAGGAAGCTTTAAAGAAGATAAACGAAGGCACATTAGAAGAGAAATTGGTGAAAATTCTTTTCAACTACAGGAGAACGCCGTGCCACGAGGGAAAATCCCCTTCTGAACTTCTATTCGGCTACTTGATTCGCTCTCGCTTGGACTCATGTTTCCCACCTTTCCCAGGGTCAACCCGGGAGACAGAAGAGTGGACACTGCCACCCGACACAGCCGTGTACTCCCGTAACTACGGCCAGGGGGAGAAATGGACACCAGGAAAAGTTCAGTTCACTACAGGGTCACGCATGGTCACCATACAAACGCCCGCTGGGGTGGTTCGACGTCACATAGACCAAGTGCGTTCCAGGCAAAGCCCGGCATCTGGCCGGAGCGGCGCTCAGCGAGACCACGACGAGGGGAGCCCTCCGGCTGCAGCGGCGCCCACACCGACCGGCAACGAAGGCAAGTTGAACGAGCAGCCTGCAGACCAGGTGGCACCTGCGCAACCGCCGCCGCCTATCCAGAATGCGCAGAAATCCCCACAAGTTTTGCGACGCTCTACCCGGGAAAGAAAACCTGTATAGCGTTTTCAATTTTAAGGGAGGAGAAATGTTGTAATCGGCTTGCTATGTTATCTACCACCGCCTGAGCCAGGCGCGTGACGTGCCAACAACTGAGCGTCATGTCTTTGCCCGGTCTTTCTTCCTTCCCAACTCCCTCTCCCTTCCTATGCTTTGAATACTGTGTTCACGACGAATAAAGGTTTTTTTTTCAGTCCCCAGCGCTGGTCTCGCCTGTCGTTCACGCACTGTGTGTGCGCTGGCTATGCAACAGTTTATGAAAATGGAAGTTGATAGTTTCTGTGAGAACCCCAATGAAGTAGCTTTGAGCCTCGCCTGCTTTGGAACCAAAGTCAGCTTTTTTTGTTCTTGAACAGAACTGCACTATAATGTTATTTCTTTGTTTGGCAGGCACATGGTGAATGATGTCATTGTTCTCAGCAGAGACAGGGCACCCAATCTTGTCACATAAAGTCTGCACTTTCACCTTCAGTGTTCGGGATTCTTTTGATTTCTTCATTATTTCAGCACGAATACTGCTCAACGTCCGCCACTCTTTGGACAAGGCTTTTGTTACTCTCAAACAGAGAATTGTTTTCATCTGTCAAGGACTCTCATTCTTGGAAAAGGATCTTATTTTTTTATTTTACAGTCTCATATAATTCATTAAACATACTGAAACTTTGACGCATTTCTGCTTCTTCAAAGCGGAGGAAGTCTACTTCTTTTGACAACTTGGAATTCGTTGGCATCTTTGCAGAACTATGCAGGTCAAGACACTCAGTGCAAGAAATGGCAGCAGTGGTGACAGCAGAAACTTTTGACACAATATGGAAAATTCGAGGCACTGACCTGTACAGATATAGAGAAGATAATTAGGAGCAGTCCTTAAGCCGCAACCACTGCTGCCGAAGTGATGACTATCGTTCCAGCGCAGGCGCTTATAAAGGCAAGGATCCGTGCATAGGCGGCTGCTGCACGCAATACAGTGATGGCGATGCTTGGGTAGCCCACTTTACACGTGTGCTTCTTGATAGTAGTGTCGTTCACACAGGGAGACGCCGGGAAGCAGATGCACATGGGATTTGTACATACATAGAGAGGATAGGAGCAGTCAGCCGCAATACTGCTGCAAAGGTGAGTTAGTATACTTGCCGAAATATAGCTCTAGTGCTTCGCAATGCACAAGTTCCGTGCCGAAAATGCAATCAGTAAATTTAAGTGTGAATGGAATAGGGGCATTACTAAACAAACCTGCCAATAATAAGGCTATTGGACGAGATGAAATTTCACATCGAGTCTTGAACCAGTGTGCTGTGTCACTTTGTCTTCACCTGCACGTAATCTACACAAAGTCTTCGCCCTTCGGTGCTCTCCCAGATGACTGGAAAATCGTACATACAGTTCCTATTCCTAAAGGTGGATCTAAGAAAGACGTAACCAGCTATAAACCTATTTAACATACGTCAAAACCCTGGAAATTATTAAAGCATATTCTGTATAAAGACATAACGGCACATTTATCAACAAACAGCTTGCTGTCGTCTCAACAACATGGGTTTCATAAGGTCTTATCTTGTACAACACAATAATTGCATTTTATCATGACTTAGTAACTGATATAGACAAGGGCAGTCAAACTAATTGCCTTTTTTTTTAATTTTCAAAAAGCATTTGACACTGTATTGCACTCTTTTCTTTCAAGTAAGCTTGCAGCACTAAACATTGACCGCGAAGTTATAGTGTGGATAAAAAATTACCTTTCAGACCGGCAACAGTGTGTAGGAATAAATGGCGAAAAATCGAGTTTCATAAACACCTTCAGGGGTGCCACAGGGCTCAGTCCTAGAGCCGCTTTTATATTTATTGTATATAAAAGATATTTGCTCAGGAATAAAGTTTAATATATGGTTGTTAGCAGATGACTGGGTCTTGTACAGGAAAATTAGAAATGAGGGTGATGTCGCTTTGCAGCAAAGTGACTTATCGCGCATTCAAAAATGGTGTTAAAGGTGGATACTGATATTAAATGCTGGTAAGTACTTTCAAGTTACTTTCAGGTGTAAAAAAACCAAGTTAGCTTCAGAGTATGTAATCTGCAATAGTATAGTAACACAAAAGTCACATTATAAATATTTAGGTTTAACTTTTTCTGCCGACTGTTCTGGGGTCTCTGCGAGGCGAACGAGCGCATCGCCACGCCACGCTCTTGGAGTGAACGGACACAGCAGACGTGGTCGGTATAAAGCACACAACATACATTTATTAACTAATTTAGACGACGATATCGTCCGCCGAATGTTACATCAATTTTAATTAACACGCTACATAACAAACAACATAACACAGTGACACACTAAACACACAATAACATGATAAACACACACTAACACACCCAAAACACTAACACATACCGAAGGCGGCGTCGCCAACGCCTGACTTTCCATGTGGGACCCCGGCGTGAAGCCCGCGGTGCCGACCACCGGGGACCCACGCTACAGACAACCGTTCGCGGCAGCCGCCACGCGCAAAAGAGGCTCGCTCAACTCTCGCCCACCACCAAGGCCTGCCTTCCACCAGGGGCCACCGCCGGCACTACCACTCTACCACCAGTGGTACTCAAAGCGAACACAACGCCATCTATCGCCCGGCGGTGGTCACCACCGAAATAAAGCCTTGGGGCGAGACACATGCGCCACGCGGCGCAGACAATTTTACAGGGGGGGTGTCAGCACCCCCACATTCCTCCAACCTTAAATCAAACCATATCCCGAAATCAAAAATTAGCTACACAAGCTTTAACAAAAAAATGATATCGCACGACCATGATGTCCTTGCACCACGACACCGCCGCTGGTCAACACTGTTGCACTGTCCGGCTAGACTTCACCTCAGTACTGGCCCCGCAACAGCAACGTTGACGTCGGCGCGACGATCCGTCACTAGCGCCGACACGTCTTCCAGTTGCGACCAGCACTCGCGAGGGCGCCGGACTCCAGGCAGTTGCGCAGGTCCCAGGCATCTCCATCGCCCGACCTCACGACCGCATTCCTGGCCAGCGACGCTGACGATGTGCAGGACAGCCGGCCGTGGATGATATCCCTCACGCTGAATACATCGATAACAACAACAAAAAAAAATTGAAAGAAAACAATCGAGCAGGTCCTCGGGAAGGGAGTTTCGAGCTTTTCGTCCACGTGGTACGTTGGTCAGTACTGCTAGCTAATACATCGGTGGCGGCCGAGACGCCCATCAAAATAAAACAAAAATCACTTTTCCTAACCCTTGCATCGCAAGATAAAAAAAAAGTGAGGGAAGCAGAGCGCAACACCTCAACGCCACAATCCACCTAGTTGTGCCACGTGCGACAGGCGGCTGCGCAGAGCCTTAGGCCTAATGAGTCACTCGGCAACAACCGGCATCCACCCAGCACCCAGCCTAGGCACAGTAGAGGCAGCCGCGAGGAGACGTCCACTCTGTGAGGTGGCCCTATCGCTCGCCGCACACAGCAGCTTACCGAGCGATTGGCGTCCACCGCCCCGGGCGGTATCACGACGCCTCGGCGTCGAACCGCAATACCAGACAGCAACGACGCCCGGCTCCCTGAGCCCAAAGATATAGAAAAAGCTATTTACAGAAAATTGGACCACCCACGAGGCTTCCGTACTCACTCGCTTCGGGCCTGGCCTACAAAACACGTGCTCTAGGCCTTGCTCACCCCAGGATGCGGACCGCATGGCTCTCGTCTTAATTCAACAACGTTTTTGAAAACTAACAACAACAACAAAATAGCAACACTTGCGAGCAAAAAAATAAATAGAAAGTCAACCTGCCGACAAATTCAAACACGTTACAAAACCAATCCCCTCGTTTCTCAACAAAGCACACCGCCGATGCTAGCAAAGAAGTCCCCCTTAGGCCTACTCTACTCCGGCTCTAACAAAATCCCTGTATTGAACCGCAAAAACTGTCAGTCCGATACTTCAAGAGCTCCACTCCACGTTGGGCAGCCAGTGTGAGGTCTCGGCGAGGCGAACGAGCGCCAGTGCCACGCCACGCTCTTGGACAACGTTTTTGAAAACTAACAACAACAAATAAATAACAACACTTACGAGCAAAAAAATAAATAGAAAGTCAACGTGCCGACAAATTCAAACACGTTACAAAACCAATCTCCTCGCTTCTCAACAAAGCACACCGCCGATGCCAGCAAAGAAGTCCCCCTTAGGCCTACTCTACTCCGGCTCTAACAAAATCCCTGTATTGAACCGCAAAAACTGTCGTCCGATACTTCAAGAGCTCCACGTTGGGCAGCCAGTGTGAGGTCTCTGCGAGGCGAACGAGCGCCAGTGCCACACCACGCTCTTGGAGTGAACGGACACAGCAGACGCCGTCGGTACAAAGCACACAACATACATACATTTATTAACTAATTTAGACAAAGATATCGTCCGCCGAATATCACATCAATTTTAATTAACACTCTACCATACAAACAACATAACGCAGTGACACACTAAACACACAATAACATGATAAACACACACTAACACACCCAAAACACTAACACATACCGAAGGCGGCGTCGCCAACGCCTGACTTTCCACGTGGGACACCGGCGCGAAGCCCGCGGTGCCGAGCACCGGGGACCCACGCTACAGACAACCGTTCGCGGCAGCCGCCACGCGCAGAAGAGGCTCGCTCAACTCTCGCCCACCACCAAGGCCTGCCTTTTGCCAGGGGCCACCGCCGGCGCTACCACTCTACCAACAGTGGTACTCAAAGCGAACACAACGCCATCTATCGCCCAGCGGTGGTTACCACTGAAATAAAGCCTTGGGGCGAGACATGTGCGCCACGCGATGCAGACAACTTTACAGGGGGGGGTGTCAGCACCCCCACACTGTTCATGGAAAGCACTCGTTGATTCAGTTGATGCGAAGGCCGCCAAGTCACCAAATTTTATACAGCGAATCCCGAGACATGCGCCGGCATGCTTAAAATCAACGGCTTATTTAACATACATTCGCCCTATGCTTTATTACGCTTTTGCCGTGTTGGACTCGTGGCAAAGTACTTTAAGTTACAAACTTGAAAAAATATAACATAGAGCTGCAAGGTTTGTCCCAAGTTGATACTCAAAAAATGACAGTTGCATCAATATGAAAAATGAGCTTGGATAGGAACTACTCTCATCTCGCTGAAAGAAACTGCGTTCAAAGCTCCTGTACCAGATATTTCATGGTAAAACCAGCATTCGAAAAGAAAAGTACTTTCACAGTCCTCATTATATCTTTTCGTGAAATTATGATTGTTTCAAGATTTTAGAGTGCTGTACCAGACCTGATTTCTATGCTAATTCATCTTTTGTTTGTTACATAAGTGAATGGAATCACTTATCAAATGAACAAGTGTGCTGTATTAATAAAGATGTGTTTTTCTCAACCCCCCTGCTGCAGCACCCTCGGGCTAAGCGGGGTAATCATTGAATAAAAAACAAAACTTGCGAAGGTCTTTGATCATTTGATCATGCAAGGTCTTTGATCGGAGAGGAGGGGAGAGAGGTTCACCCATGCGCCCTTATCTCACGGCGGGCAGGATCATACGTCTTGGCTGACCTTGGGCTTTCACTCGCAATTCTGTTGTAGTTACTGTGCTCACAAAGGTCACTGCCATCATTGTACAGTCTCATGCGAAAAGGGCGCGCCTTTCAGACACAGCGAAGTAATAACTGAGACGCTTGTTCGCGTTCATATGTACCTGTCAGTATATTTCATGCATCATTTGTGTGTGAGAAATGCGGGGCGCGTTTCTATCTGCTTGCCATTCTGCACATGACCATCCAATCCGTTGCTATCACGTTCGTTGCTTCGCCTTTGCGGCAAAGCTGTGACTTTTTTTTTTTAAGTTACACATGTGTCGTTACGCACGAGCACTGTTTTTGCACTCCGGATAGAAGCAGTCATAGTACCTTCAATAAATTCAGAGCGCTGTTTCCTGTCCTTTTTTGTCTCTTTGTACCATCGTCTCCCTGTTACTACGATACAACCACTATGAACCAACTCTTTCAAATTAAGCTCCTATTTGATGAAAATTATGTTGTATTATAATTTGTGCAGAAAAACATATTGGCAGAGATAATAGAGACAATCTTAATGAACTTTAATCAACTTTCATAGAAGGCAGTAGCACACTCTGCATAGAGTGTACATGTGTAGTGTGTGTGCAGGGTTGCCCCAAGGTGTTTAGTTCAGTGCCAGGCCTGCAGTACCACTTCCGGCGGTGCCGCCTGATACAGCTGTACCGGTGCCTCAACTGCTGTGAGGCCACATTTGCTCGCCCAAAGACTCTGCTGGACCACTTGCGCATTTGCTACACGGTGCGTATCTCCTACCCCTTGGTTGCCACAATTGTATATTGCCTACTAATTGCAAACAGTTCATATTTTGCCAATTACCTCTCCTCATTATTCACTATAGAATCTTAGTGATTCTCGCGGTTTCGCAACAACCCACATTTTACGACAAATCGGTTCAGTTCCAGCAAAACTCACATAGAAATAATGTGTTAAAAACTGAGATTGTATGGCTGACTTTTAGGTCAACCACACTTTGTGCCATGCCTCTCTGGTACTGTCCATGATAAACAGTACACCTAGATATAACTAATCCGGATATATTAGTTAAAACGAAGTAAAGAAAAATTGTCTTGCAATTGATATAATGTTGGGAATGAACCTTTATAAATAATTTGATTATATAATGAGCTTATTTTTGTGCAAGATAAAATTTTGTTATAATGAGGTTTAAGCATACTGTATTTTCTGGAATCGCATCCTGTTTTCACGGTGTTTAAAATACAAACTGCTCTGAATGTGATGATGCTGGGTCAACAAGACTGACGCGACATCATATTAATTATTAGAAAAAGAGAGACATTTGCCTTCATAGAATTTGTTCTCTTGGCAGTTGATTTCTCACAGTGATTCAGTTTCCATGGCCTTGGGAACGCCATGATTACATCCTTATTCAAAGGCAAGCTCATAGGTCATCGTGTCTGGATTGTTTTCCATTTTCGGCGTGCGAAAGCTTTTCCTGGTCGACATGCACTTCAAAGTCTCTTCCGTTGGGTTCACCTACTCCCAGTCACAACACACAATGACGTAGCTGTCTTGAGTGTGCAAAATAAATTTCCTTTGCTTTCGTAATAGAAGTGGCACGTCACAAATTCTACTTCATTGGGAATGTAGATGTGTCACACAAAATTCATAGTTGTGCCAAATACGAAATGTATCTTATCTTGAGATGGGGATTACACTGACGAAATGCCGTTTTCAGCATGGTTTTAGTTTTGTTTTTCTACTTCTGCAGGCATAGTACTTGTTTTTATTGAAAAGAAAACGTGCATTAGATTCATTTTTTTTTTTCCGGCCTGAGAATAAAGATTCACTCACACTTTCTCCACCGAAATGCTTAGGTCTCGTATTTTAAAATAATTTTATATAATTTTCTTGGAGCAGTGCAGGTTTGTGCTGCAGACTCATCCACGAGATTTGTGCACGTTTTTCAGGCAAGACTGGATCTCTTTCCTTATTATACGACAGTTAGAGCCGTATCATTGCAGTTCCACTGTGCTAGAATGCATAATACATTTGGGTGGGCCCCTCATAGGAGCGCCCTGAAGGAGATCAGCCTGAAAAAGTCTCAGAAGTTTCATGCGGCCATCGGCGCTCAATTGTGTCTGCTGCCTCGACATCCCTGCGGCTGCCAGCACAGTTGCCAAGCATACTGGGATCCGTTTTTCACCACATGGCTCAACATATGCGACACATGTGAGTAATGCCGAGCTGCACCACTTCATTATTTTTTTGCACTGAAAGCTGCCATCAGAACACAGCCTTAGCCGATTATGGCAGCTTTGTTGTGCACAGCCACTAGTGTTTCAAATAGTTGCCTCAGGAAATGTTAGAGAAAAAAAAACTAAGCATCAAATGGGATTTGAATCGGGCCCTCCTAGTGGCAGAGAAGTATTTCATCGTGGAGCCTCGTCGGGGACTAAAAGTTCTTGGCAAAAAATCTTATATGGGCGCCATGTCGGGCAAGAAATCACATTAACAGATCTAATATAGTGCATCAGAAGATTAAAATGACAACCAGGCATCACACAATGCACAAAGTGCATAATGATTAGGTTGTTTAAAAAGGACGGCGTTGTCGGTGCGCTTACATGAACTGGAACAGCACTAGACCGCTAAGCCATACGTACTGCCAAGCAGGCAGGTCGCGATTTAAATTTATTGCGATGTTTATTGTGGTAGGTTTGTCGCGATGACGTTCCGCCTTCATTGGTAGCCGTCGTCACGCTTTCGTGAATTTCCATGCAGACATCACTGCACCTCCGCCGAAGTCAGTAATTAATCAGTGCATGATCTACTGAGGCCCTTATCGCAAATGCGCAAAATCATAAGTTCTTGTCAACCACTTCGGCGTTCCCCATGCAAGGATGTTGCTTCATTGCATTGTGCACATTGTTTAGCCTCACCAAAACTAAATTTTTGTTTGAAGTTGAACACTCAGCTTTGTCTTTTGTCTATCGTCTTTTCTCATGTCCGAGGACAGTAATTCTTATGTGCTTTCAGAATGTGCTGCTTGTGTCTCCATACTCACCTAACATAAGTAGTTTAGTTTCAGTGACCCTGGAGGTTTCTTGTACAGACTTAGAGAATGGGAAGGGTTTGTGCATCATAACACCAACCATGGAATAGGAGATGCCTGATTCATGCATCTAGTTATTCTGATGCTGTTTTCTTGATTCCATTTGCACACAAAATTGATTGTTGGTATTTGTGCATGCTTAGGCCAGCTCTTTCTTACCACCTCTTGTGAATTCTTACAGGCAGAGACAGAGCCAGTGCTGGAAGGAGACTCTGTATTCTGACTGGATGCCCAGTGGGCTGCAACTTTTGGACCAACAGTAAGCACACCTAGGCTTGTTTCTTTACTTTAGGCTTCGATAGCAAGCAGAACAAAAGTGCTGAGAGATCCTTTTTGTACTCCTCATCAGCCACAAATGATTGGATTGAAATAGGAGCATATTAGTGGCTGCGCATTTCTAATAGATCATATGACTGACGTGCATCATAATTCTTATTCATGCTGAAGACTTGATATTTTACATCGCTTCTTGTGAAATGTTGTCGGGTGCCATCATGTATGAGCCATCTGTTGTGGCACTACAATCGCGCTCAGTATGAGCTACACCATGCAAGCGTGTGGCCAAAGTTGTACAGTAGCATCGATCGTGGCACATTTTTCAATTATTGAAAGAGGGTTTGGCTGTTCCTGCTAATGCACATCGCCCCCATTCGCTTTCACACTAGCCCTTGTTTGGTCCTGTGGTGATATCAGCTTCGAAAATTATAACTGCCATTGTGGTTATGACAAGTCGAGCTTCACAAAAAAAGTGATACCTAGCCTTGCTCTTTTTTTTTCCCACTTAATTTTAAGGCCGTGAATCGTAAAGAAGGCCGTATAAGCAATGCTCCCCATAAACGGCACCCTTGCGCAACAACTGCTACTCAGGACGCTGATATCCTCAACGCCGCAAAGGCAAGCCTATTCAGTATGTGGCGACACACTGCGCGCAAACCGGCACAGCCAGAGTGACTCGGCCGCATGCTGGAACGTACGTTCGATAACGGACAGTGCCACCGCTCTTTCACCGGGAGCTGACATTACCACAGGTGGCTATATAACTCAAGCTACCAAGCTTGGTTTCAATGATTCTTTCTCTAACCGTTCGAGTACAGCATCGACACGCTTGTCCTGCTATTGCTACCCCGTTAATAAACATTGTTACGTTTTATGTTGGGATCTGTCCTTCACACGGCCACCACATCCCACATCTGGTGACCTGGAAATCAAACTAATCGCACCACCATGGCTGAGCAAGAAGCCCTCACCGCTGTTTGCCAACAAGTACAACTACTTCAAGAGCTACTTCAGGCCCAACAACAGTCGCGTTCTGTCCATGCCCACCAAAGCTCTGTTCTAACGAGCGCCATCACTCTTACGGCTATGGCGCCCTGCATCCTCATACCACCGGAGTTTCCCGAATTCTGGATGGAAGCTGCTTTCTGGCTGCGCAACATCACCTCGCAGCAGGAAAGGTACGCCATTACGATAGACATGCTTCCACCTGCTCTGCAATGCGTTGTGCCTCCTCCGGAACCACAGGCATATGACGAACTTCGAGGTTTCGTGCTAGCCCTACTTCAACGGGCAGTGCCACATTACTCACTACCTGCCATGTGAAGCGTTATTATCAAACCTCGGGCCGTCACTACCCCTGCGCCAATTCCGGTAGCTGATTCTACCACGTATGCCTTGCCGACCATCGTGTGGTATATTCTCCCCACCTCGGCGGCCGCTACTCCTACGACCATTGCTGCTTCCACCACCGCTGCCCCAGAATCGCTGAACTCCCACGCTATTCCCTTCATGCCTACCACAACCTCGACTAATCTACCTGTTTCTATTCCTGCTGAGGCCAGACCAACTACGGAAGTCTTCGTCGGTACAATTTCGGTATTTCTTGGAAGCACTTTTGTAACTACTGAAAATGCTCAGCCTGCTGGGCTGACTGCTACGGCCTTGCCTAGCGCTGCTTCCACCGAGACTCCATGTCCTGGTGCTACCCTGATCCACATGCTGGACCTTTCACTCTCCCAGTTACTTCACTGAAAGTGTCTACTACTAGTCTTCCGAACCAGGAGCAGTCAAACGCAGCCACGGCTTCTGCGAGCGCCCCTTCAAGCGTTCCCGTTGAGCCTCGTGCACAGACTTCGACTCCCTCTACAACCGAAGCCACTTCTACTACTTCACTTCTGGTGACCACGGATTCCCCTTCGTTGCAGTTCACTGAGACCACCATTACTCAGACTGTGGTAACCACTTCTGCCCGGACTTCTACAGTGGTTCCTGCATTATTGGGCCGTATCAGCAACACCCTGAGTAAGCGCCAGAACAAGAATCCTTTATTCCAGATAATGCTGCTGTATTTATACTGTAATTCTTTGCACACGCATGCGCATACGTTGGTGCCGAGTCCGCACTTTAGACGCCGTGATATGGCACTTCCTTTCCCTTAGATGAAGCCCAGTCTGTCTGGCTGCCTTCTTATGCGGGTAGAATGCCTGGGAAGTTTAGACCCGTCTGTGCCCTCGATCCTGGTTTACGCCAATCGGCGCCCGCGATGTGCCCAGCGATAGGTCAGTTGACTTGATGTCACCTGCCAGAGGTTGGTCTGGTGAAGGTGGATCACATGGTGAGGTTCGTTGCTCAGAAGATCGGGTTGCACAGAGCTCCTGCTTTGCCACCACTGTGGGGTGCCGCCCCGCCACGGTGGTCTAGTGGCGAAGGTACTCGGCTGCTGACCCGCAGGTCGGGGGTTCGATTCCCGGCTACATTTCCGATGGAGGCGGAAATGTTGGAGGCCCGTGTGCTCAGATTTGGGTGCACGTTAAAGAACTCCAGGTGGTCGAAATTTCCGGAGCCCTCCACTACGGCGTCTCTCATAATCAAATGGTGGTTTTGGGACGTTAAACCCCACAAATCAACTGTGGGGTGCCGCGGCCGCAGTTGGTTCACGTGACGGCACTGCATTCCTCCGGTGGTGTCCACCATGACCAAGCCCTTGCTTCTTGATGCCGTCACTGTGCTGGGTAACCATCTTTGGCTGGCTTGATTGTTCTGGCGTGCCCACACAGGCGCCCCCTGAGGAAAACACAGCTTTTGCACTGGGTCCCGGTCCACCGTGGGGTCTTGGTCCACCTTCTCTAGAAAAGGTGCGCTTAGATGGGTCCTTGGCTGAAAACCTAGCATCATCTTTGCGGGCGACTAGCCGCCTTGAGTCGGTGTTGTCCTGTAACGCAGTAAACACTTGTTAATTCTACTGAGTAAACTCCCCATTTTGTTTTTATCGATCCCTTCTGTAATGGTGCGTGCAGCGTGCTCTGCCAATCCGTTTTATTGAGGGTAGTATGGGGCGAAGTTGACATGGCGCACCAGATTATCTTCAAAAAATTTTTTAGTCACTGAACTGTTAAAATTGCGGCCCATTGTCGGAGACGACTGTCTGAGGCAGGCCAAAACAGGCGAACGTACCCCGCAGTGCTTCAACTGTGGTTTCGGCACTAGCCGTTCTGAGGAGTACTGCTTCTAACCATTTAGTTTCCGCATCGACTACGACCAAAATCATGTGCCCTTCCACCGGCCCCGCGTTGTTGATGTGCGGGCGAGACCGTTTGTTGGTTTTCGGCCAGCTGATAGGGGCCTTCCTTGCTGGCATGGACCAATTCTGAACACATGGCTGGCAGTTGTGCACCAACTCTTCTATGTTGTGGTCTAATCCGGGGTACCAAAACAATGAGCGCACCAGAAGGTTCATAGCCGTCATGCCGGGATGGGTATCGTAGAGTAGTTGCAGCATATTTGACCGCACTGCTTCAGCCAGAACCACCCTATGACCCCAGTAGATTAGTCCCTTACTCACAGTAAGTTCGTGTCTCCGGGTGAAGTACGGCAGGAAGCCCTGTTGCTCCTGCCCGAGTTGTTTAGGCCAGCCGTGCAGAATCCATGTCTTCACCTGTCTCAGGAGATCATCATCGTTCGTGCTGTCTGCCAACTGCTATGTGCAAAGAGATAAATATGTCAATGCTTGCGCATGCAGCACGTATTCTACGAGATCATCTTCATCATGGTGCTCTGGTTCCGGCAAAGGCAAACGGCTCAAGGTGCCAGCATTCGCATTCAATGGCCCCTTTCGGTACTCAGTGTCGTACTGATAAGCGGATAATAACAGTGCCCATCTCTGGGTACTGGCCGCTGCCATTTGCGGAATAGGTTTTTCGCGATGGAACAGCCCTGTCAGTGGCTTATGATCAGTCACCAAACAAAATTTGTTCCCAAAAGGGTAGTCTCGGAACCTTGTCACCCCAAAAACCAGCGCAAGCACTTCTTTTTCCAATTGCGAGTAGTTGCGCCCCGCTGGTGTTAATGTTCTCGAGGGAAAACATATTGGATAGTCTGTGCCATTAATCCGGTGCGACAACACTGCGCCCAAGCCGACCGATGACGCGTCGCAGTCCAGTCTCATAGGCTTTTGTGGGTCATAGTGGGCAAGAAATTTAGCCTTACTTAAGGCAATTTTTACAGCCTCGCATGCTCTGTCATGTGCTGGCCCCCAGTTTCACTGCACTCCTTTTTTCAGTAGACCATATAAAGGAGCTAGCGTCGTTGATAAATTGGGCAAAAACTTTGCATAGTATGTCACCAAGCCCAGGAAAGACTTCAGCTGGCTTACCGATGCTGGCTTCGGCGCTGCTAGTACCGCCTCTAGGTTGTCTTGCAGGGGGTGAAGGCCATCCTCGTCGATGCGATGCCCTAGGAACGACACCTGCGCTTCTCTGAATCGGCACTTAGCTTTGTTCAGCTTCAGGTTGTTTTCCCGCAGCCGCTGAAATACCTGCCGAAGCACGGAAGTGTCGTTTCTCTTTTCTGCGACGATGATGTCGTCGAGGTACACTTGTACGTTCGGCACCCCTTGCATAAGGATTCCATGCGTCGCTGAAAGAATGCGGGGGCTGAAGCAATACCAAATGCTAGTCGATTGTAAGAGTTCAGGCCTCGGTGTGTGTTTAGCACTGTTATCTTCCTGGCTTCTTTGTCCAGTGGCAGCTGATTTTAGGCGTTGCGCAAGTCCAGCGTTGTGAAGACTTCCCCTCCGGAAAGAGCCGCAAAAATGTCTTCAACTTTGAGCAAGGGGTATTGTTCCTAGTGTGATGCAGGGTTAACGGTCAACTTGAACTCGCCGCACAACCGTATGTCGCCGTTCTTCTTTGCGACTGGGACCACCGGAGTTGACCATTCCAAAACACTTACCGGCAAAAGCACCTCGTCTTGTACGAGATGGTC